AAAAGTAAAAATCAAAGACAACAGTTCTCAGAACACACTCAATCTTACTAAATACTTCAGACCTAACGCCTTACCTATCTAGAAAAAGAATGGAGAAACAATTTATTTGGGGAAGATTTAGTCCAATTTTGATCTTTCACTTGTTGGGATTTAATAGTGAACCTCCCTAACTGGGATCACTGACAAGCATGTCAACCTCACGGCTGGCAGGCCACATGCCTCGTAGGTCTATGCAACATAGACCATCTGGTACACTATAATACACACTGCTGCTTAATACTCTCACTATTTGTAACACTATTAATTCTATCAGAAGCACCAAGGATCAAAACATGCCTCTTTAGTCTCTCCCCCACTGCAAGGCCAAAGAAGAAACCCTCTCCCTTCAGTAGCCGGTGTACACCTTTCCCCGCCCCCCTACCATTCCAGACTAGTGGCAGCAGCAGCCCAACACTGACACCTGCTGGGGAAATCCAAGCAAGGGCTTGTACTGTACTGTGATCATCAGCTCAAAAATGTCACCGCCCTTTAGAAGTAGTAGTAGAAGATTGCGGAAACCGGTTTGGCTCAGTGGATAGAGCGTCGGCCTGCGGACTGAAAGGTCCCAGGTTCGATACCGGTCAAGGGCATGTACCTGGGTTGCGGGCACATCCCCCGTGGGAGATGTGCAGGAGGCAGCTGATCGATGGTTCTCTCTCATCGATGTTTCTAACTCTCTCTCTCCCTTCCTCTCTGTAAAAAATCAATAAAATATATTAAAAAAAAAAAAAAAGAAGTAGTAGAAGATGTCTTAGTGACTTATACTAGAATGTAGCCATTCAATTCATGAGGAAGTGATGGCCCTTCTTTAAAGGGTGTGCACTTATAAATTTTAAAATATACCTCATTTTTTAGAATGTCAGCATTCATGGTATACCTCATCCTCGCTCATCTAAAAGTGACTCCTTACATAATATAACTTACTGTATTAATATACAATTTTACAATAACCATGCATTTGTTATATATTTTAAATTTTTTAAAGCATATATGTAAAATTGTTTACAAGATGACAAAGGACTTCATTTTCTACAATATACATTTTTTAATGCTATAACTTTGTTTAAACCACACACATAGTACTTTTTCTCTACAAAAATTTTTGGTAGATCCTTAATAGTTTCTGGATTTTTATTTTATTTTTTAAATCCTCACCCGAGGATATGTTTTTATTGATTGTAGAGAGAGAAACATCGATCATTTGCCTCCTGCATATGCCCTACCTACAGATCAGGCCAGTGACCTAGGTATGTGCCCTGACTGGAAATCGAACCCACAACCTTTTGGGTGTACAGGATGACACTCCAACCAATTGAGCCATCCAGCCAGGGCAGTTTCTGGATTTTATTTACTTATTTAAATGGTTTTTTAATTGATTTTTTAGAGAGAGAGAGAGAAGGAGAGAGAGATAGAAATATCCCTGAGAAGCAATCATCAATCAGCTACCTCCTGTACACCCACATGTGCCCTGACTAGGAATCAAATCGTTGACCTCTTGGTGCCTGGGACAATGCTTAACCAACTGAGTGACATGGGTTGGGCCAGTTTCTGAATTTTAAATTGGCTAACTTTATTAAGAAGTAATCATGCCTTGGCCGATTTGGTTCAGAGGATAGAGCACTGGCCTGTGGACTGAAGGGTCCCAGGTTCGGTTCTGGTCAAGGGCATGTACCTTGGTTGCAGGCACACATAGTACTTTTTCTGTGTGTGCAGGAGGCAGCTGATCGATGTTTCTAACTCTCTATCCCTCTCCCTTCCTCTCTGTAAAAAAATCAATAAAAAATATTTTTAAAAAAAGAAGTAATCAATATTTTAGTCACATGTGGCTAATTACATTTAAATTAAAATTTAAAAATTTAAATGTAGATCCTCAGATAACATTAGCTGCATTTCAAACTTTTTGAATGCCTTCTGTATGTCAGGAACTGTGCTTGCTACCTTCTCAGCTCTCCTGACAAAGAGGAAGAACAGGATCCACAGTTGGCTAGTGGCTACTGTCCTGAACAGCACAAATACAGAACATCTCATCATTGTAGAAAGTTTTCTTGAACAGCATTTCTTGCAGTGGTTCTCAACCTTCCTAATGCCACGACCCTTTAATACAGTTCCTCATGTTGTGGTGACCCCCAATTTCATTGTTACAAATTGAACATAATTAAAGCATAGTGATTAATCACAAAACAATATGTAATTATATATGTGTTTTCCGATGGTCTTAGGCGACCCCTGTGAAAGGGTCGCAACCCACAGGTTGAGAACCGCTGCAAGAAACACGTTGGATTATTTTCAGACAAATTATATAACATCTAGGTGGGGGATTGGATAGGGGACAAAAATGAAAGAAGTCTGGCAAATTTTAATGTTTTGAAATCATGTTTACTATACTTTTCATTTTTATATGTTTAAAGATTTTCATAATAAAAAAGTTAAAAGAAAGGAAAAATAGCCCTAACCAGTTTGGTTCAGTGGATAAAGCGTCAGCTGCGGACTGAAAGGTCCCAGGTTCGATTCTGGCCAAGGGCATGTGCCTTGGTTGCAGGAATATCCCCAGTGGGAGGTGTGCAGGAGGCAGCTGATCGATGTTTCTAACTCTCTATCCCTCTCCTTTCCTCTCTGTGAAAAATCAATAAAATATATTTTTAAAATAAAATAAAAATTTTTTGAAAGGAAAAATAAATAAAAAATGGCTTGCCTAAAGAGGAGATTGTCCCATTAGGAATATATCATGGAGGGCAGCTTGGAAAAATCTTCAGTCATCAAACCAGAGTTCAAATCCCTACTCAGTGACCTATTATGGGACCTTTAACAAGACACTGGACTTCCCTGAGCCTCACTTTGTTCAACTGTAAGACGGGAAATTTAATACCTGCCTTGCACAAAGTTGCTGTGAGAAATAGAAATAATTCATGCAAAGCAAGAACACACTACCTAACACATAGTAGGCCCTCAGTAACTGATATCTCTATTATCAAACAGCAGAGTTTACTTTAAACCATGTAGGTATTTCTCAGAATAACAATGAAGAGGTCCTGTTGGAAGAGGATGGACAAAGGCTGAGCAGAAGCCCACTACTGCTATGGAAACAGACACCGGTAGGCTTTTAATGCAGTAAATCAGTGGTTCTCAACCTGTGGGTTGCGACCCCTTTGGGGGTCGAACGACCCTTTCACTGGGGTCGCCTAAGACCATCAGAAAACACATATATAATTACATATTGTTTTGTGATTAATCACTATGCTTTAATTATGTTCAATTTGTAACAATGAAATTGGGGGTCACCACAACTTGAGGAACTGTATTAAAGGGTCACGGCATTAGGAAGGTTGAGAACCACTGCAGTAAATGAAGACAATCCTTTTGTGGCTACCTTTAATAAACTTTTTGAATACCTTCTATATGTCAGGAACTGTGCTTGCTACCTTCTCAGCTCTCCTGACAAAGAGGATGAACAGAATCCAAGACTCGAGATGTAAGGTAAAATATTCCAAAGCCAGATTTTTGGAAATGTTAATCCAGAATTGGCCTCAATCACCTGGGTATAGCAATAACCGCTATTTTTTTATCTTTTATGTCCAACCAAGTTCCCCTGTTCCCCTTAGGAACCACCTACTGTCTTGCATACATCATGCCCTTCCTCCCCTAGTATGAACTGTTCCCCTAAAATAAAAGTTCTCTCTCTCTCTCTAAATCCTACCCATCTTTCAAGACATGATTTTGTAATGCTTTCTTTGATTCTTCCCTTTTTCTGAAATTATACTACATTTAATCTCAGAAACTTACAATAAAGCATTCGGTTCCCTACATTTTTTATATACTTTCATGGAAATAAGGCTTGCCTCTACAATAACAATGTATATTCCCAGTGGGCAAAAACCAGGTATTTGCTCCTTTTGGGTTCCCCACAGTGCCTAGCACAGTTTTGGAACAATTGTAACCATTCAACAAGTCCTTATTAACTGGGTAACTCTCTAAAGCATCCTCCCAAAATAACAAGTACATTATGTGCACAATCCATATTCCTTCCCTTGCTAGAACCTTATGTCAGAGAAATTTCAGTGGCTTAAACAGAGGATATAATGCAGAACAACATGCTGCTTGGATCCAAAAGGCAGAGTCTGGGAGTTGGTGATTACACTAGATTTGACCTTTACAGAATTGCAGAAAGAAGACCCTAATAAATCAAGATAGATGCACACACAGCCACACCTTGAACATGTGGTGGGCTATTTACTATACCCACTCAGTTTCTTCCATGAAACAGTTGCCTGAGATGCCGATCTGAGTATGGAGAGGCCTTCCTTCTATGAATTATTCTTCTTCCCCACCCCGAGGTAAATGTCCATCTGGAAGATCTACTCAAAAAATCTTAACTAAGCAACTAACTTGCTGTCCAAAAAATATATTTATCTCAAAAAATATGAACTATCTTCAACATATATATTATTTTCCTTTCTGTCAAGCTGCATTGCTCCAAAAGATCAGATTTAAGAGCTGAACACAAAGCAACACAAGAAGACCCAATACACTAATCTGCCCCAAGCAGGGTTTTCTTTTACTACTAATTTCTAAACATACTGGGACATTTTCTTGTTTCATAGCCCTGAATATACAATCCTTCAAGAAGTTAAAAGAAGCCAGGCAGAGGACGTCAATGGTTCTATCTCCTCTTCAACTCCTCATGCCCCTCTAACCTAATCTACACTCTCCTTTAAGGTTAAAGGTCACAAGAGCTTAACCAGAAAAGGAGCTGGTAGAGCCAACTGACTCATATTGCTAGGCCCTATCTTCTCTCCGCCACAAGAGCGTTATTTTCCAAGAAGATGCAATGGAAGTAGGGAGAGCCAAACCAAATGCATGGGTCTCAGACGCTCCAGATGCAGCCACAACATCTGTAGGACTAAAGAAAGAGATATAAGGAGAAGAGTAAGGGATGTAAGAGAGAACAGAAAGCGCCTGCTTACCTCCTGAGTGAATCTTCCTCAGAACTTTCGTCAGGCATATCCTGATGTAAGGCCTCCTGTGATACAGTTCCAGTTCTGCTGGACTGGGTGTAAATTCTTTCCCAGTGGCCTGTCTCCTGGTTGAAGGCCACCCCCACAGTCCTCTCCTCCTGCGGACTAGCAGAGCTGCTCAACTCCAGCCTGCTGGAGCTGGGCGTATGGCCCTCAGTCCTCTCAAGAGGTGGTAACTGGCTGCCACTCGATGGCATGCCCTCAAAGGTACTGGAGACCTGCCAGGAGGAGCTGGCCTCGCCAGAGGAGTAGCTAGGTGTGGTTCTTTCCCAACGCAGGGTATCGTTGTTAAAGGTTAGCAGATTGTGGCAAGCACGACAGTGATTCAGGTGACCACGGGACAGGTTAGAGTTGTTCTCACTGCTGTGTGGGGTGGGCTGGTGGGAGGGGCCTGGCCTCTCAGATTCAATGTTATTATTGAGCATTTCCTGGGCCTGTTGGGTCTGGGGGGGTTCCCCATTCAGGCTCTGGTCCAGCTCCTGAAGCCGGTCATACTCCAAAAAGAAGCGTCTCAGGTCACATGGAAGCTCATGGCGAATGCTGCCTGAGTTGTTTTGGCTGGAGCCATTGCCTCCATCTGACTCAGTTGCCAACCCTGAAGCTGGAAAACCCCTCCCTTCTGTGGCTGAAGTGTACACAGATGCTTGAGAGCCACCTTCCTGCTGCCTCAGCACAGACAGCAAAGTCACCGAAGAGGCACTGGTCCTGGGCGGGGGCATGGATTCCGCCTCAGAGCGGGAGTTCAGACTGAGCACTGTCCGGGTCCATTCAGATCCTGTCAGTCCGGGAGCTATTTCTCGGTGATACCTAGAAGGGTGGCTAGACAAAGGGCCTCCCAAAGAGCGACGGGTGGGACCCAGACTGAGGTTGCGGAGCGTGTTGCCGGCAGTGCTGCTCTGGACTGTACTGAAGGCAGACGGCCGGTTCAGGAGGCCCTGGTCCTGCTGCGTTGATGAGGCCTGCTCCGGGGGATGGAAGGGCTCGGTCTGTACAAAAGAAAAGGAAGGGGTAGTAGCCCTGGCAGAAGCAGGGGGAACACTGTCCTGGTGTGGCAAGAGGGAAGGAACTCGAGTGCCAGAGCAGCGGCTGCAAAGGCACAGGATCCCAAGGTGCTGGCAGCACTCAGCTGTGGGGTAACTGACCCGCTGTCGGAGCCTGATGTAAGCGGAAGTCCTGGGGCGCTCCATGGAGGGCTGAGGGGGAGGCGGTGGGGGTGAGGGGGTAGCAGACTCTTGCACTGTGCTTTGCTCTCCCACCTGGATGCCAGAGGAGCGAGAGGACAGCATGTGCAGGAAATTGTGGAGGAGAGGCGTCCGGCGAACTGGCTGTGATTGCAGCAGGGCACGTTGTCGGTAGTGAGATATTTCTGTTCCATCTATGGGGATCTCTGGTTCATCATCACCCTGCAGTGTGGACCAAGGTGGGACGGAGGCAGAGCAAGACAGTTAGGTAGAACCTTTAGGTAAACCAAGAAAAGCTACTGATAATTATCCAAGAAAAACTTTCACAGACAAGCAACAACTCCACCTCTGAAGTGCTGAGAACTGGCTTCAGATTCAGAATCATCATATGGTATTAAATTATTCCCTTTCAATTAACAACATTTCTGAATGAGTACAGCTGGCAAACCAATTCTCTTAAAAAAGACATCTTCATAACACAGAGGCAGTGAGGGGAAGCAAAATGTTAACCAGCCAGAGGCACATGAATGACAATCTATCCAACACTGCCTGGTTACTTCTAATGATGGAATCACTCGGGTTTCGGAATTGACTCCCCTATCATGATTATGGCTATAACTTTGAATACAGTCTGAAGCTAGTTTTGAATACTGACTGGAGAGAAACACTCGGGCATTGAAAATTAAAGTCTAATACAATCAGAATTACAACACTAGTTTAAAAAATAAGCCACAATTTAGATGGAGTTGGAAATGCTGACTAACTTACCTGCTGATTAGAGGGGTTAACAATTGCTGTGAGTAAGTAGTGTCCAAGAGGATCAAATCTCACCAGACTGAAAACAGAAGAAGAGACAAAGACATGCATAGAGATTATGCTAACTTAGAAGAGGAAACGTGTACAAATTTATAGCAATCAATACTGTAATGTCAGATTACTTCACCCTAGAGATTTTCAAAACTTTCAAAGAAATTACAATAGTCAAGTTCAATACTTCTTGTTCTCCTTATACTTGCCAAAATATGGGAATCTGTATCACAAAAATAATTTCAAAAAATACCTAGACTTCATTCCAGGAAGCAACTACATTAAGCACACATTTGCTCATATCTATGAGCTCATCATAATAGCAAAGCATAGAATGCTCCCAAACTCTGCCACAAGTTCAGTTCCTCCCTTATATGGTAGCTACACTGGCAAGAAGCATGAGTTCTGGTGACAATGAACAGTTTCAGCATCAAGTAACTAGCGGAGTCTATAAGTTAGACTAGACTAGCTTATATCCAATCCTAATGCCAAGAGAGCCAAAGGAAAACGGCATCAGCTTTAATTCAGACAATGTGTGTTTTGATCTTGAGGGCTAAATAAATATCAACTGGCATATTTGATGCATACTTACATCTCCCTCTTGCAGTTTGATAAACACAGATAACTAGGGATGAACAATTATCCCTCAAGCTACCCACAACCTGAATACCTTTCAGATCTCTCACAAAAAGGGGCTCTTCCAAACCCAAATAGCTTTGAACCTAAAAAAGATTCTAATGACCCCAGTTTTCAAAACCAGAAGATAGGCCAATAATGAACAGTTGAAATGAACAAAATTAACTACTTCCCAGCTGACTGGCCAGCTGCTGAAAGGGTAGGAGGAGCACCCTGGCCGGTGTGCTCAGTTGGTTGGGCATGAACCTGTGCACTGAAAGGATGCCGGCTGGATTCCCAGTTAGGCACATGCCCAGGTTATAGGCTCTATCCCCGATAGCAGGCATGCAAGAGGCAGCAATTGATGTTTCTCTCTCTTCCTCTCTCTAAAAATCAATAAAAATTCTTAAAAAAAAAAAAAAAAGGCAGAAGGAGCTGTAGGGATAACAATCTGTCTCCCAGGTGAAAGCCATGCTAATCTATGCCAGACATCACTGGTGGACAGAGGACTCACCGGACCCGTTCCATCTCGCTAGCTGTCTTCACCACAGCAAAGGGCTCCCTTCGGCTCCAATCCCAGAAGTGGATCTCATTGGCAGTGGCAATCAGAAGGAGCTGAGCCGTAGGGTGGAAAGCCAGAGAGGCAATGGCATTGTTGCTATCTGTGAACCAGCTTTCACTGCCACCCTATGAATGAACCAATCCCAAATATTCTCAGGTTACCAACTGCCAGCAAACTGAGATGTCAAATTCTCAAAAGGTCCACATTTAAGGTAAAATTACTATGGCGGGGCATACTTTAAATTTGTCCTCTGTAAAACGACGTAGAAAATCAGCGATCGAGCAGTGTCACCAATTTATTAGAAAAATATTACTGTCAGTTCAGTTCTCCAAGTCTTTTACAAGCCATCAGCAACGAGCATCAGTACAGCTCCTATTTCTGAAGCCTGGGAAAACTCAAGCTTGGTGCATGACATGGTGTACAACCCACTAGCCATTCAGTAGGACAAGGAACATATTGCTTTGAGGAACGTAATCAGAGTACTGTATAATCCGTGCTATAAGACAACAAAAATCCATCCTGAACACATGGTAGAGCATGGACGGATGGAAAAATAGTTAAATAGGGTATTCATCACAGAATGGAGGCTAGGCTTGCTATCATTTAAGTGGGTAAAGACTACCACTTACTTGGATGTAGTGATAAGAACCTGGTTAGTCTCTCCTCCAGAATTAAGAACCCAATGGTAAACAAGTCTCTGAATTGAGAATACCAAAGACAAGGAAATACTTACGTGTAAATCCCAAATCCTAACCTCCCCATCCAGGCAGCCAGAAGCAATAAGGCCTGAGATGGTGGGATGGAAAGTGACACACCATGGAGTACGACGGTGTCCAATCAGCGAATGAACACACTTGCCAGTCTTCACCTCCGTAATATAGATATTATGGTTCACATGGGTGGAGGCCAAGAGAGTCCTAGGAAATCAGAGTACAAAGTCAATGTGAAGATGTGGGAGGGGAACAAACTATCAGCTTTGGGTGACACAGAAAATTTATACTATTCCTTATCCCAGGACAAAAAAAAACTACACCTTGGGCATTACCAACAGCAGAAATATTCTGATCTTTAAAAGCTTCTGAATTCTCCACCCTGTCCCCAAATGACACATAACCCCTTCTGAGAATATTTTTTCTAGCTGGGAAACTATCACACCATTGGTGGCCCATACTGCACACGCAAGGGATGATTATTGAAAAACTTTCCAAGTTTTGTGCCTCAATGTTCTTTGCTTATTCCTATTATTTTTATGGTTATAACTGCTCATCTACTTTCTTTCCCTTTCTGATACACTGTCAAAGCTCTGTTCATACAATGCTTCAAAGAGCCTTTAGGGCAGCGGTTCTCAACCTGTGGGTAGCGGCCCCTTTGGCGGTCGAATGACCCTTTCACAGGGGTCGCCTAAGACCATCCTGCATATCAGATATTTACATGACGATTCATAACAGTAGCAAAATTACAGTTATGAAGTAGCAACGAAAATAATTTTATGGTTGGGGGTCACAACATGAGGAACTGTATTTAAAGGGCCAGAAGGTTGAGAACCACTGCTTTAGGGGTGGATCAAGTTAGGTCAAACACACAGAAAGCAATGCTATCACAAGTCTTAAGTAATAGATAAGTACTAGGTACCTGTCTGGGCTGAAGGCCAGTAAGAAGGTAGAGCGTGGACTATCCGGCAGTTCTACTCTCTGGGGAACAAACAGAAAAAGTTAAAAAACATTATTTATAAACTATGGCCCACTCTACCTCAAAAATACACGAACCTGTCTAGATTAGTATTCACAGAGTAAATTATCAAACTGGACATGCTGAAGCTACAAATTGAGAAAGACAAATCTAAATTAGCTTTAGGAAAAATGTCTAACTGTAAAGAAAAAAGGTACTTCTAGCCCGTAAGTTCTTCCAAATTTGTTTTACCAAATTTCCCTGCCCGGCCCTAGCTGGTTTGGTTCAGTGGATAGAGCATCGGCCTGCAGGCCGAAGGGTCCCAGGTTGATTCCAGTCAAGGGCACATGCCCAGGTTGCGGGCTTGATCCCCAGAAGGGGGCGTGCAGGAGGCAGCCCATCAATGATTCTCATCATTGATGTTTGTACCTCTCACTCTCTCTCCCTTCCTCTCTAAAATCAATAAAAAGATATATTAAAAAAAATAAAAAAACACCTACCTGCCCGGCCGGTGTAGCTCAGTAGTTGAGTGCCAACCTATGAACCAGGAGATCACAGTTTGATTCCCAGTCAGAGCACATGCCCGGGTTGTGGGCTCGGTCCCCAGTACGGGGCGGGGCATGCAGGAGGCAGTCAATCAATGATTCTCTCTCATCATTGATAGTTTCTGTATCTCCCTCACTCTTCCTTCCTCTTTGAAATCAATTAAAAATTATATTTTCTAAAAGAAACTCCCTAAGTTACATAGTATATCTCATAGTATATCTATTCTAGTACACAAAATAAATTACACCCCAACTCTATGTCATTAACCCAACTCAAGGTCCCATTCTACTGTCACCCCTGCACAAACCCAATGTCAAAAGTAACCATTTTTCTTACCTTGCCCTCCCATTTCATCCACCGGGTTTTATCTTCCACCAGCTCCTGCAGAAGCCGCTGAGCTCCAAAGGCCCGAGTGCCCCGTTCTCGCCCCCAGAGTATGCGGACAGCATTTTTCTCTGGAACAACCTTCATGGTGCTCAGCAGCCACTGTAACACCAGGCACAGGAAGAGAAGGAGCAAGCAATAGCTCCACACGCTGAAGCAGCTAAAATGAGGCCATTCAGGTCCTTGTGAGTTGTCTTCATGGAAATCTAAAGTATGAACATTAATGTCAATGAACATTAATGTCAAAGCTTCTACAGAGAAGCTTCCCATTGCAAATACGAATCTAGCCCAAAAAGGAAAGTATTCTTTTCATATTTAACTAGAGGCCGGTGCATGAAATAGGTGGGGTCCTTAGGGCTAACGGGCAATCAAGGGCTATCGGGTCTGAGCCAACCGGGCCT